CGGGGCGCCTGGGTCCCAGTCCTTCAGAGCTGTGTCTGTCGGGCCCCGGCCCGGGAGAGGGCTCCGTGGCCCTTCGCCACGGCGCCGCAGGTCCTTGGCCCGGGGAGTCGTCCGTCGGTTTTTCGGGAGCTCGCCGCGCCCACGGAGACGCCGCGACGGCGTCAGGGGGCCGGTGCGGCCTCAGGCGCTGCGCCCTGGGGTGCAGTTCTGGAGTCTGTGGGTCCCGCCCGTCCCCTGGTGAACCCAGGCAGGTCGCCTGCATAACGCTTCTTCACCCTTCAGCCAAAAGAATCCTTGGACCCACCCCGCAGTATAAATTGTCCAGAACGAAAGGGTGGAATTCCGGAGGTTTCCAAAGGTTGCTGACCTTGAAAGGTAAAGCCAGCGCCGTGCAGGTGCCTCCCTGGGCTCCACGTGATGCCTGGAAAACTCACAAGGGTGTAAAATAGAAGATTTCAAGTTGTTCGTGACATCGGTTTAAAACATGATGATTATGCATGATCATCGCCACAGAAGAGTTTTTTTTTTGTTTTTTTGGTTCGTCTTTATCCATTTCAGAGAGAGAGAGAAGCTTCAGTGATGAGTCACGATCGCCGCCTCCCGCACGCCCCCTGCTGGGGGTCGGGCCCCACCCCCGCCTGTGTCCCGACCGGGAATCGAACCGATCGCCTGGCTCCTAGGGCGACGCTCAACCCTGAGCCGCGCCCGGTAGGGCTTGTTTTTGTTTTCTTTAAAAACACATTCTTTGTGGACAAAAAAGGGATTCCGTGGAAAGCACAATGGTTTCTCAGATGAGACACCAAAAGCGAAAGCAACAAAACAGGCGCATTGGAGCTCATCAGGGGAAGAGGCAGGGTGGTATGGGGGTAGTTTCTGAGCCGAATTCTTATCTTTCATAAAGGGCAGAATGTCTAAATTGATAAGTAGATGCAGTTTAAAAACACTTGTATTATGTAGAGTTTCCTCCAGCATATGCCAGATCAAAGAAGCCATATGAAGGTTGCTTCTGGGCTGTGGGCTGGGGTTTGGGCCGAGGACCGCTCCCTTTCATGACAAGCATTTATGTTTGTTACATACGTGAATGGCTTTAATGAAAATACCAAAAGATAAAATAAGGTAGGTCGGATTATAAAGGCCGTATGAAGGCCAGGCGTGGAAACAGACTTCATTAAGGCCTGAGAAGGGCATAGGGAATGGTGAAGACACAGATTTAGAAATTTAATAGAAAAAGCCTAGACGACCAAACATCTGGATAGAAGATGACAAAGCTGAATAAAGAAGATGAAGCTTTCTGGCCTGAGTGACCGTGACCGAGTGAATTATGTGTCCCCCCACCCCCCAAACTCATATGTGGAAGTCCTAACTCCCAGCACACCTCAGAATGTGGCTGCACTTGGAGAAAGGGCCTTCAAAGATGAAATTAAGGTCAAAGGAGGTCATTAGGGTGGGCCTGAATGCAATATGATGTGTCCTTATAGGAAGCGGGAGACAGACCAGGGATGTTGTGGACAGAAGAAAGGATATTATCTTTTTAATGATTCCTTCCTTTACTTAATTATCTCAGTGAATTCATAAGGAAGAAGCCCCATGAAGATTATTTTATTATTAAAATATTCTGATTGGGATCCTTTAAGTAGCTATTTGAGAGTAGTCAGTATGTAACATGGAATGGGAAATAAAAAGGACAGCCGTTTCATTTTTAAAAGCCAACAAAGTCCAAAACCAAGGCATCTGTGACTTCCCAATAACAGGTTGTTTTACTTCCGTTAAATCTGTAGCTGCTATAGCTTTACCATATTTGGAAAAAAGGGGACACTATCTTGCTTTTAGGCTAATTCACTTTTTTAAACTTCTCTTTTCCAATTATAAACATACATTGCTTATTAATGCTCATCTTACACGCTAATTTATTTCCTGCACTTTGTTGATTATCCAATTTTCTTACTTAAAAACAAACAAAACCCGGCCCCGGCCAGGTAGCTCCGCGGGTTGGACCTCATGCTGCAGAGAAACTCAGATGCAGATAAAGTTGGGAAGTGAGAGTGGTTCGTATTTGTCGAGAGCTTACTATACATGAGGCAGCAAGCCGGGCACTTGACGCGGGTCCTCACGAGGGCCCTATGAGTTTGACTCTGTTGCCAGCTGACACTTAGGAAAAGGAAGTGGGTCCGAGGAGACACGGTCACAGTAAGAGACGGACGGCACTGTCTCTGGGTCAATCAGTCGCTCTGACTCCAGCTGTGAGGACTCCATAGCAGCCGTTTGTAAAAACACAGGACTGGATACAACCCTAAATGACCCTGATTTGGGGACAAGGTAGATAATCATGAAATTATGGTGCATCTGCACAATGAAATACTACGCAGCTTAGAGTGGAGGACAGCTGCACGCTCTGCTCAGGAAAGGTCACTGCGGTTTTGCTCACTGTTCTGCTGGATTTGTTTTACTCCATCGATTCTCCTCTCCCACCCCCACCCCCCCTTTTTAAAAGACAGTCTGTGTGATGAGCAGAGCAAGGACGATGGGCCAGATACAGAAGGTCACCAGGATGGAAAGCCCTGGATGCCTAGTAAAGGACGATTGTAGGGTGGGACCCCCCCCCCGCCGGGTGGCCTTCCCTCCCCTAGCATATCACTGGTCATGTGGGTTGGATCCTGACCTTTCCTCCCTAGAGAGAACATCTAGGCCTCAGTTGTATTTCAGCTCCAGGCCCAGCAGAGCAACAAAACCAGCCACAGCTGACCTCAGGACCAGCTGCATTGGATAATAACATTGACCAATCAATCAGTGGAAACCACAACCCTGAAAGGACACACCTGGAAAGCTGCTGAATATTCTATTAAATCGTCCCCTGGGACCACCCTTAAAATCTCCTCCCTTAAAACCATTAGGACAGAGGACCCAACGTTTTCCTTCCTGGAAGCAGCCGGAGCCTTTTGGCCTTTGCCTTCCCCCACCCCCCAGGCACGTTACCATTAACTTCCTCACTCCCAAGCTCCAAGGGCCCTTCCTTTGCCTCTATAACTTGTTTCTTCTAGAAATTACTTCTACCTCTGTGAGTTACCAAATAAATGTTACAGTACGCGTCTTGGCTCTGAATTCTCTCCTAACTAGAACCCAAATACCGAGGTTGCTGAACCAGGCCGGTCAGGCGCCACTGGACTGACCCCCAGTGCTGTTTCCGCTGCTGACAACTGGGCTGAAAGGACTTGTTACAGAACACACTTCATTCTCACAGAGCTATTTGTAGAGTGATGTTTGGTAAAACTTAAGCTGAATTTTACCTACAATTTAAATTTCAAGTTTATTAGTCCCTACTTGAGAATTAAACTTTCTGTGAGAATTAAGTGTGTTCTCTAGCAAGTCCTTTCAGTCCAGATTTTAAAAAGGAAGGGAGTTGAGGGCATCATTCCCTTCAGCTCTGTGCTCTTGGCAAGCCCAGGGCCCCTCTGAGCAAAGCAGTGCCAAGCACAACACTTTCCAGGAAAATGTTTGTGGTTTTGTTTGCCATCTGCCAGAAGTCACCTTGCTTCCTGGCCAGGGGCAAAAGAGCCAGGTAAAGGGAGATGGTACAGGGACCTCCTCCCAGTAGGGTGCTCCTTTGAGTGAGCATCAGCACCCGCCCGGCTACTGAGTACGGGTGCAGAGGTGAACTCAGGAAAGAAGAGCCCCCACCCCCAAACCTCAGGCGATCCATCCAGTCCTCTGAGGCCTGCTGGGCCCAACAGCCATTATACGGCCAGTGGCCACCCACCCGGATGGCACAGGTATAGATCTGCATTCACTTGTCACACATAAACTAGCTGATCATGCAGCAGGAGAGCCGAAGGGGCCTGACCTAAGCAGGTGAAAGGGTTGCTGCAGGCTCTGGGGCTTTCACGATGTTTCCTAAGCTGGGTGCCATCCCCTTTGGGATGTGGAAACAAAGTCAAACAATGAAACGCAGAGTTAAGTCCCCAGACCATTCCAAAGAAACCAGTCTTCTGAGCAAGTACAGGCGGCGTTTGGCTTCGTGGGTTTCAGGCCGCCTGGAAACGGCGGGTCCTCTCACAGCTCCGCAAGTGACCCACTCGGTGAACCTCCAGGCTCTGCCCTCTGGCTTGCTCCCCACTTTCACATGCAACTGTTTTCCTTCCCAGCTTTTCAGCTCTGGAAAGAAACGTCACTATGGACTCTGCTTTCTCCTGGACCGCGTGCCAGCCACCTGAGTGTAACTCCTCCCAGGCTCTTGAACGGTACTTACCCGGTGGGGCTCTGTCCTGTGACCCCACTGACCACGTGGTGCCCGCGGAACCCGGCGGGTCACTAGGGGACTGGCTGTGTCTCTAGGTGAGGGACACGGTGCCCTGCTCGCCACCATTCTCTCTGGACACCCAGTCGTCCGACGGTCCCCAGGCCAAGGGTTGTGTCCTTTGTGAATTTAGGTTTCACGTTTATATTTCCCTCAAACGAAGCCAGAGCCACTCGACGATGCTCCTTACGTTTTGTGTCGTCCAAAGAAGT